TGCAATTCTTCATCCTGGAGGTCTGCTGATGATCCTCTTCCCTCTCTGCTCACTCTCTTCTCTCTGCTTCATTTTCTCTTCCTTGCACTCGAGTTGTTACCTTGTGCACCTTCCCATGCCACAGTCTGCCAGCTCTCACTCCCACCCTGCCTCTTCCTTGGGCAGCCCCAGCAAAGATCTGTCCTGGGGCGAGCTCTGCCCTGATGTGCTGATTCCATCTCTCCGGCAGGGAACGTGGTTCTGGATCCAGACACAGCCCACTGTGAGCTTGTTGTGTCTGACAATGGCAAAAGTGTGACACGAAGTGACCCACGAGAGGACATCCCTGAAACCCCCAAGAGATTTGTCGTGTGGCGCTGCGTTCTGGGCCGTGACGGCTTCACCTCGGGGAGACACTACTGGGATGTGGAGGTGGCAAATGTAGGAGAATGGATCGTGGGAATTTTTAGAGAAAATGTGGACAGGAAGGGTGATATTGAGCTTAAACCAGAGAAAGGCATCTGGGCAGTGGGGAAACGGGCACCAGTCTTGAAAGCTTTCACCTCCCCTCATCCTACCCTATTTCCTGAAATCCAGGCTCCCAGGCGGATCAGAGTCTCTCTGGATTATGAAGGGGGACGGGTGTCATTTTTCAGTGTTGATGAGGGCATTTCCATCTACACATTTTCACAGGCATCATTTGGGGGGATAAAAGTCTACCCTTGGGTCTGGGTGGGTCCTGAGACATGTCTGAAAATATGGCCCTGATGAAGAGGAGGCAGTAAGAGAAGGGTCTCCAAGGGCAGAGATCTCGTTACCTCTCTGGACCTTTCTTCCATACTGCATCTCTCTAAGATCTTTCTCTGAGGCCAGACAGGCTGTTCTGGTTCCAGTGCAGATCAGTGGGAGAGGTCATGGCCAAGATGATACCACCTCACATCATTTCCAGGTGTGCGGAAAAGGAACTTTCTCTCTTGCTTCTGAGGGCAAAAATTCCTTAAGCGTGGAGGCTGGAACCATTGTTCCATTGTCTCAGGCTCAGTGAGCATTTGGCATGTAAATCCCCCTCTCTTTGTACACTCTTCTTATCAGTATTGTTGCTGTTTCTGTTCCTTTTATGATATCATTGCTGTTTCCAGTGAACTGTTCTTCTCTCAACCCACAGTCTTTGCCTTTTGTGCTTTCAACCAGAGGTTGAGCAGCATCTGCTTTGGGAGAGTCTGGGTGGGAGCTCTTAACTGGGGAGTACCATTCCTAAAACATGACACGTGCTTTCACACCAGATCCCCCATTCGAGATCCAGCAGGCACGGACCTTCCCAAGGGAAGGGCTCACCCAAACAGAACTGGTAAGGAGGGAGACTTCAGTGCAGGGGGTGGGTTTGTTGCCTGAAATCAGCTCTTTAAAGAAACCTCTAAGACCAAATTTGTGAGTTTCAGAAGCCAGGCTTTCTTTTATTCCAGCACACTGGAATGACTCCAGCACGTGGAGTGCCCTGGGAATCAGTTCCCAAAGTGCACACCGAGGTATCCTCACTACAACTGACATGGCAGCATTACAGGATTATTAATTTTTTCTCCCCCACATTCCTGTTACATATTCATGACATTTCTGAACACTTAGTAGCTTATTTCTTTAATTCAAAGCACCCTAATTTTCTATGGTACCTTCTTGTCATGGTTTTGCTGGTTCTTGGAAACTGGGCAGGAATTTTTCCCTTTCCCCTGCCCGCGGTGTGTAGGGCTATTAAGTGGGCACTTAAGGAGCACAAAAGCGGCTTTCTGGGTAATGGCTCAGAATCTCATCTCCTGGGAAAGGGGGGGTGAGGAGCTCCTTTATATTTTTTTTCCTCTTGTTTCCTGGGAAATCGGGGGAGGAGTTGGAGCTTGCTGTGAAGGCTGGAGCAAAGTTGGAGTGGGAGCTCAGTGGATTTTTGTTCTCAACCTGGTTGCCGGCTGTGGATCCTGCTCG